ATCTACTACCCTTCTCCTTATCCTTTCTTCTATCACTCCTATCTGATCTTGCTCCAAATTTTCTGTAACCCCTTGCGTCCTAGTGGCTTCTCGCCTTGCTTGGGGTGAAACGCTTAAAAAAAATATAACGTTTGTATATCATAAAATATATTTTTGTTGTTTTGACTATAAAAATGTATTTGTATATTTTTGATGTTGCATTGATAGTCATTTTATTATAAAAATGTACTGTTGATTTTTGTTTGGTGGGGGTTCACTATTTGCCCATCGCTGGGACCCTAACAGGTGCTACCACACCGGGTCAAGGTGGACCTGGGAACAATAGCAGTTAAAAGGTGGTTCCACGCTTCTCAAAATCTCCTGATTAGACGCCTTGCTGCCAGATGAAGTTTATCGTCATACCCAGAACGGTTTGCAAAAGGAACAGCTCAACATACGCATTACAAAGTGGAGACACAATAAACGAACAACTACAACAATTTAAATATCTGCTATATATATAAAGCGCGATTCTAAAATCGGGAGGTGTATTGGGATACTGAAAGATGCCTTCCCAAAGCTAAGCAGTGTATTAAGACAGAAAAAAATTCATTAGAAACAAAGAAAAGAATGCTGAATGGTTATGTAGTATCAATTCTCCTATATGGTAGTGATTGCTGAACAATCTCTTCACAGATGAAGAAGAGATTTTAACCAGAAATGTGCTTCTACAGAAGAATGCTGAGAATATCATGGATATAACATGTGAGCCACAATGAAGTTTAGAGAAAATGGAAATAAACTACACAATGGTGATATACCAGAAGACTTAATTAGATCTATTTTCATCGTAATGCTTAAGGAGCCAGGTACAAACGAATATGAACTCCATCGGAATGTCAGCCTAATGAGCCATATAACGAATGTTATCATCCGAATTCTGAAAATAGACCGGACATAGGACAAGAACAGTATGGATTTGTCAAAGACACTCGAACAAGGAACGCAATATTTCTGCTGAGAATGTTATCAGAAAGAGCAATATAAATGCAGAAGGACGTGTACCTGCGTTTTATGGATTTTTTAAAGTCGTTCAATAAAGTACACCACAAAGGTCGGTTAGTACTGTTCAGCAAATTTGACATATTTGGTTAGGATATTAGAATAAGCAAGAACCTGTACTATCAACAGATATATAAAAATAGAAAGGAGTCTAAGACACGAACGTGTCTTTTCCCCGGACTTATTCAGCCTATACAGCGAGGCAATTTTGAGAGAACTAGAAGTCCTACCAGGATTTATTATCGGCGGCCACAATATTAACAGCATAAAGTATGCCCCTGACACAGGGAAAAAAAACTACAAAAGCTCTTACAGAAGGTAATGAAGGAAAGCAAGCAGAAGGGACCAAACATAAACTGCCGGAAAACAGAATGTCAGAATTGTTAGCAAAAGGATGAGCCCAAAATGCAAATTACAGATAAAATCAAAGTAGAAAAATTTAAATATCTGGAAAGTGTTCTAACAGAGGATGGAAAGTGCGACACTTAAATCCGAGGACAGGATTAGGATAGACAAAGATGCATTTCAAAAGCTAAGTAGAGTATTAAGAGACTGAAAAACTTCGTTAGAAGCAAAGAGAACAGTACTGAATCTCTCTTCCTGTATGGCAGTGAATGCTGGACAATCTCCTCAAAGACGAAGAAGAGACTTGAAGTAACAGAAACAAAGAAAAGAGTACTGAACTGTTACGTGATATCTGTCCTGCTATATGGCAGTGAATACTGGACATTCTCCTCAAAGACTTGAAGCAACAGAAATGTAGTTCTACAGAAGGATGCTGAGGACACTATGGACCGAATATATGAGTAACAACAAAGTTCTAGAAAAAATGGAAACAAAAAGGAAACTTCTACTTAAAATCAGGAAGAGACAGCTGATATTTCTAGGAGACATAATGTTATACCGGAACATACCTATTCTATTGTTAATAGACTCTCCCACAGATAATAAGTAGTAGTAGTAGCAGTCGCCAGGGGGATCAGTGGAGTTGAGTGAGTCAGTCGATGTCGGACATTGAAGTATCAACCACCACAACTAGATTGCTGCATCATTAACTATTATTTCAAGCTCCTAACGTTTTGTACGTCGAACCTTTTAGGACCGATTTAATAAAATACAAGCCTCCACTATGAAAACTACTTTACAACACATAATGAGGAAAGAGAGCTTGGAAAATCTGATACTCACAAGACAGACTGAAGGCAAGAGGAACAAAAGAAAACAACGTATAATATACTCAGTGACCTTAAGAAAAGGTTGGTGGAACAGGGTTTACAAGAAATAACACAAAATTTATTAATGTCGAGAGGAAATTGTGGAGAGCCATGATCGCTTGCGTCCTGAGGGTACACGGAACATAAAGAAAAAGTTACTTAACATCAGGAAGAGACTTTTGAAATTTCCAAAGCCTTAGAAAGAAGGTTCGGAAAATTTGATACTCATGATAAATTAAAGGCAACAGAAGCAGTGGAAAACAACGCATAAACTGCCTTCCGGGCCTTGAGTAAAAGATGTTTTAGGAAAAATAACAAAAGGACAACAATTTTTAAAAACTATAAAGGAAAGGAAAATCTAGGTAGAGCCATGATCGCCAAAATAGTGAAGAGGCACATCACATAGTAAACAGCAGAAGAATAGTTTTACGTGATCTTAAAAATCATATTTACACTACTGACATTGTTCGAACTGTTGTCCTTATCTTTATTGCCATATTCACGATGTTTCGGCCGTTGTACACTCCGGCCTTCTTCAGGATCTGTCTATATTTCTGAGATGAGGTATTGTAATTATTTACACTATATTGTTTGGACTATTGTCCTCATCTTTATTGGCGTATTCACGACGTTTAGGCCGTTGTACGAACAGAATACAAAAGACATGATTTATTTGTCTTGCAGTGTACCTTCTTCAAAAATATGACTACAACGTGTCCTAGAAATGGTACGGTGAAGTACCATCGAGAGTAATGGAAGAGGAAGGTAAACCAAAATCTTTCGCTATTCCAATGCACCATCGAATTTCTTGCTCACATTTTTCATGGTCTGTTAAAAAAAGACCTCCATGATAGTTAAAATTATGTAATTACTTAATTACTACACGCCTACAATTCGTACTTCGCATCATAGGCTCTTCTTACTAACGACTATACTTTCTATCATTATAATTAGTCCTTTCTTCTTGCTTTCCTTTTACTCCAACTAAAGTATATCTGGAAAGAATATGTGTAAAAAAAAACTTACGCTAAAGATATTTTTTTTCAGTTCTGCATTAAAAAAGATACTGCAAACATTATAAAAGCGAAATGAGTGAAGACATCTTTTCAGATTTCAAAGGTTACACATGTTTATGTGACACTTTGTATTCGCTTTGTCCTGAATAAAAAAAATGGAAACAAAATCGCGCTTTCTAAACTTGTATGAACGTTTCACTTCGGGGAACCAGTTGCAACCTGACTGTTGTTTTGTATGTAACTTTAAAAGACTTCTACTTGAAAAAGATTTTTCCTATCAACATATGTAAACTTTTATTATTACTTTTACACGTTGAGTATTAACTGGTTGCTGTTGCTAGAGATCAAGTGACAGTAAGTCCCTTCACTACTCTAGCGGAGCAAACTCTCTCTCTCTCTCTCTCTCTCTCTCTCTCTCTCTCTCTTTCTCTCTTGCCATGGTTAACAACCAGTCTACGGGTGGTAGAACCCTGATTTCTAATTAGTTCTGAGGCGATACATAAAAAGAGGTGGGAGGATAATAGGCAGACGGCTTCAAACTAACAGAAAACAACAATACCTGAAGTAACGGAGGTATACAGATACGAACAGGTTGAGATAGATAGATAGATAGATAGATAGATAGATAGATAGATAGATAGATAGATAGATAGATAGATAGATAGATAAATAGATAGATAAAGAATAGACTGAGATAGATAGATAGATAGATAGATAGATAGATAGATAGATAGATAGATAGATAGACTGCGATGCATAAAAGTGGTAAGAGGAAAATGGCCAAACAGCTTCAAACTGATAGGAAGACAACAGTACCTCAACTAACCACACTTTACACTACTGAAAGTAAAACAAGTCGAACCTTGAAGCAGATGGGCTACATCAGCAGAAACTGGGTGCCAACCGGTGATAAGAACAAGAAACTAAGGCTACAATTTGGAAGAGTAAAAAAAATTGGACAACGGACGATTGAAAAAATTTTGCCCGGTCTGATCAGTTTCGATTTCTGTTGCAAAATATGGATATTCGGACCAGAATTTGGTGTATACAACATGCCTTGTATTAATGGTTCAAGCTGGTAGTGATCGTGATGCAATGGTATGGGACATACATTTGGACCCTTGGTCCCTTAAAAAGATCGTTTCAATGCCACAACCTGCCGAGGTATTGTGACTGACCTCGTCACTTAGTTTACGAGTATGGTGCATCCATTTTCTGGTAGTCACAACCAGCAAGAGAACATATCATGTCACAAACCAAAAATAGTGGCAGATTAGCCAAGAAAACACAGCAGTTAGCTGCATACCTCAACCATCGTTGGATCTCAATCGCATAGAGCACATTTGCTATGTGCAGCGAACGAATCTCGAAGAATTACGTGATGCGATAATAACAGCATGGTCGCAGATTTCGAAAAAGTTCTTCCAGGCTATTGCCAACATCTTAGACATTGTTAAAATCGAAAGATGGTCTAATCAGTTACTAGGTTGGTTGATGAATTCGTTTTCTACGGATTATCAACCCTTTGCGGGTTATTTAAAGTCAGAAGATATTTTTAGATTGTAACAATTTATTTTTGTTGAGGTAATAACGATTTAGTGATATAAATACTACTAATTAACCCATTGCGGGGGGGATTTGCGTGTAAGTGAATATAACGAACCTAGCAAGAATTGGAACTTGACTCAACGATTAACAATTCCTAGCCATTATACCATCCACACATATTACACATGGTATTCCTAAACGATCACCCATCTAGCCTAGTGACCAGGCTCGAAGTTGCTTAACTTCGGTGATCGTACGGGAACCAGTGTTTCAACGCTATGTGGCCGTATACGTCCAATATTAGAAAAAATGTATATCATAAATGTTAGGACGTCTTGTTACTTAGATGAGAACCAATTTACGTCCCTTCATCTGAACTCTCTTGAACAACAAAGAAGAAAAGGATTTTGCAATATGGCGGTCACACATCCTCACATGCCACGTATCAAACTACCAATCTACCAGTAATCATGTTTGACATCTATTGCCATCCAATCTTACTTATTATAAAACGCAGATTCTATGTGTGTGTGTGTGTGTGTGTGTTTGTGTGTGTGTGTGTGTGTGTGTGTGTGTGTGTGTGTGCGTGTACGTTTATATATTGGATCGGATTCCCTACATTTTTCAACCGATTTCAACAAAAGTTCCCAGGACTATGTAAAATTACCTTGTGGTGGTTCTGACAGCACCAAAAATTGGTAAAACACAATTGTTTTTGCACGGAATCTATTTGAAAACACGATTAAGAGGAATCGCTGTCGCCAGAATGAAAGGGGGACAACTCATATCGAGTTATACTTATTATAAAACCCAGGTTGTTTGTGTGTGTGTGTGTGTGTGTGTGTGTGTGTGTGTGTGTGTGTGTGTGTGTGTGTGTTTCGTTTATATATGGGATCTTCACTTTTATTTTGGCAGGTAGTGTTTCTTATTGTATTGTACACTTTTTTCTTTATTTTTACATTCAGAATGCTTTAAAAATTCCATTTACAAGACAATTGTTTATAAGAAAATTCTATTCAATCGATAGACTCATAACGATTGAAAACAATGTTTTTGTTTGATTTTGGGTTTGACCAATTCGTAAAAAAAAAAACAAAAAAAAAATAATTAAGACATGCGTGTCCGTCAACCTTAAACAATAATCTTTGTCAATTTTATTTTTCAGTCTTTATGATGGTCGATACTTGATCTCTCTCTTACTGTTACATCCCCGGACAACGCCGGGCTCTCCTGCTAGTAGTAAATAAAATCTATAAATGTTCAAAGTGAGTATTCGTTCTTATTTGACACAAATAAGCACACTCAGTAATAAACTGACCCGTGAGTATATACATATATAAAATGGGTAAATACTGTTAGGTTGATATTTTACATGTCACTACATTTTGGTGCATTTCATGTATTTTTATGTATAGGGCACCCAGTGAGAGTTGTACTCACTATTCATTAGTGATGATCAACTTAACCTCGTTCACCATTACGCCACGCACGATGCTAAGCAAATCTTATTCCGCTACATGATCACAAAATTATATAGGCAATAATGATCTACCTAAACCTACATTAGCAAGTGTTACAGCTGGTGTTTTAAGACACCACGGGAAATGTTGCACCGAAATCCGAAGTTGCACTGAAATAGCGAAAGAAGCCTTCCAAAATATAAACACAGTACAGAAGAGCTCCACAAATCCGAACATAGCATAATCTAGACTTCCTTGAATTAGACTTCCTCGAATTTGGACTCATCTTCAAATCCGGACTTTTGTAATGACGTAAATATATAAACCTTTACTTCTTCGAATCAGAACAGTATCCTCAATAAAGCGTTTGGTACCGGCAGATTTCAGCGAAAGGTGGGTAAGCAAGGCAAGCCTTGTTCGAGTGATCGGGGATAGTCTTGATTTTTCTTTAGGTCTCCCTAATTCACAACGGGGCGGTTTCCTGAGGAGCCCTTCTCTTGTTAGGATAGACTCTTCTTGTGTACCTAGTTAATGTGAATAAGTGTCATTCCTGGCCTGTTCCTGACTTCTTTGGTTAGGATCCAAGCCGATATTTCCAACATCCCCAGTTTGTTTTTTGCTCCCTTTTTCATCTCGACTCAGTCAGTTTCTTTTTTGCCATGGCCGTATTTATTTTATCCTTCTCTCTCCCTTAGCAAGAGTGTCACTTGATGTTGTCTGAATACAGAATACAACGGCATCTCTTATTTCTTTGAGGGTAGGACGGGTTATACTAACATCAGTACTTTTAGTTTGTGTTTTGTTATATTTTAGTTTGTTCATCCCCTCCTTCTCTTTACTTAACATCAAATTTTTTTTATATATAATTTTATACTCAAAGAAATTTTTATGTCATGGGGTGGGTTGTAATTTCCCTGGGTGTATGCGGTATTGTGGTATGTGTAGGATTGAATGACGACGGTCGAGTTTTTGTGGTGGGTGTGCAAATTGTGATGTATAAATGGGTCGTGAATCTGATTGGCTAGGTATAAGGTAGTGTCGACCAGCCTCAACCCATTCCCCCGTTTTAGGCCTTGTGCCACAATTGATGTATTTTATCAATAAATCTTGAAAAAATACTCTCAAACATCTCGGATATTCCGTTCATCGGAGCTGTACTGCATATCCTTATTTTTGTCTTCCTTTACAGATTGTAATTGATTTAAAATAAGATATTTCTTATCCATAATAATGTCACTAATTTCAAAAGGAAGTGAATTACGTTGACTTGTGTGCAAAACGGGAAATTCTTGAAAATATAGAAAAAGGAATAAATAACTCAGTTCTAATAAAAGAATATAATATTGGAAGAAGCACACTCTTCTGTATAAAAAAATAAAGAGAGTTAATTTTACAAGCTGCTTCTTCCTGTGAAAATAAAAGGAGAAATGCTTTACGGAAAACTTTCACAAATTACAATATTTGTTTTGCACAATTTTTTTCATTATTATTGCTTGTCAATTATTTTTTTTGTCGATTTATGTATTCAATCTACACTTTAAATAAAAACGAATCAATTTTCACCTTGCTACAATCCGAACAGTATCCTCAATACCGGACATCTCGGCTGTTCGGTTTAGAGTTCTAGTGTATTAAGAAACAGGAAAATGTCACTAGAAACAAAGAAAAATGCTTTTGTAATATCAAATATATATAATTTCGATCCTCCATTGTGGAAGGGGTTGCTGGACAATTTCCTCAAGGATGAAGGGCAGACTTGAGGCAAGGGGTGGGGAACTACAGAAGGATCCTGAGAATACTATGGATGGACATTGTAGGTATTGAGGATGTTTTAAGAAAAATGAAAATAAAAAGACACATATTAAAATCAAAAAGAGAAAGTTGACATTTCTGGAACACATGATGAGTAAAGATGGCTTGGAGAATTTAACACTCACAAGGCATTGAAAACAGTACTGGCAGAGGGAAACAGCCAGTAACCTATCCAACGGGAATGACAAAAGGGATACAAAGAATGGGAAATTGTGAAGAGCCATAAACGCCAACGTCATTAAGGGACACAGTGCATAAAAGAAGAGACAGCTACCAAGCCTGAAATCATGATACAAGTTTTCATCTACGACATTTGTTTGCTAACTATTGATCATCTGTAGGTTCAAAAATTGTCTGGCATAAGGCTAAGGTGTGTGAAACTTATGTAACGGATACAGACATAACTTGGTAATTACTGGCAAAGTGAGAGAGACTGAGATTTTCGCTTGGCTCAAGGCCAGAAGTACTAGGCATATAATAAGAAACGAATTCACAGAATCAGTCAGTGAGATAGCTCGTTAACCACAACTCTACACTGAGATTAGTTACCAGGGAGGTCAAAAAGTGGATAGGCTAACAAGTAATGATTATGTGATTGATTATCGAAAAGTTTCACTGTATAATAATCAAAGTATATGATTAGTATTACCAACTGTATTATGGGACGAGATTATGTTGGAAGATAAAAAGTTGTGTAAAACAAATGTTTTTTCTCATGCATTGATAGATAGATATGAACAGAACATGGAAGGACATAGATAGATAGATAGATAGATAGATAGATAGATAGATAGATAGATAGATAGATAGGAAAAGAATGATAGATAGATAGAATAGAATAAATATGATAGATAGAGATAGATAGATAGATAGATAGATGGGAATAGAATGAAATAGATAGATAGATAGATAGATAGATAGATAGATAGATGGGAATAGAATGAGATAGATAGATAGATAGATAGATAGATAGATAGATAGATAGATGAATGAATGGATAGATGAATGGATGATAGATAGATAGATAGATGGATAGATGAATAGATAGATAGATAGATAGATGGATGAATGGATAAATAGATAATGAAATAGATAGATGGATGGATAGATAGATGGATGGATAGATGGATAGATAGATGATGGGAATAGAATGAGAATAGATAGATGGATAGATAGATAGATAGATAGATAGATGGGATAGATGGATGGATGGGGATAGAATGAGATAGATAGATAGATAGATAGATAGATAGATAGATAGATAGATAGATTGAACAAAATGATCGAAACTCCATTCTTTGATACATTGTTGGTATAATTTGTCATCAAGTGCAGCTTTAATACATCGAGGAACTGTGACTCTTTCACCTTCTGTACGTTTTTTAGGGGTATTTTGAGTCAGTCTTCAAGTAATTTGCTTTTTTTTTTCTTTCAACAACGATGGAATATGGAAGCAACCTTCACATTCTTCTCTAAATCAATGTTCGATTATATTGCAATCCAGTGATAGCATAGCACAAATCCAAATAGTCTGCTTCAATTTTATGCACTTCGTGCCAAAAGTTTAAATAACATTCGCCGTGTAAACCGGCGCCTTATCACCATAGAAGAGGATGTTATCACCACGGCACAGTGGTTGTGCCATAAGATGGACGTGACTCAAAATGCACACATCATTCTTGGCGTTAAATCTATCAGAACAATTAAAGGCTGAAAAGATTTCCTTGATATAGCTGGCCAAATCATCAGGTGGCGGGGGGGCTCCTCCATACGTCACGGTAGGAGTCAAGTAATCGATGTTGAAGGCTTCCTTGAACCGCCTCCGGACATAAACACACACCGAATTTGCGGAAATGGGTGAACGATAATTGACCAGAGAAGATGACATCGTCCCATTGAGCCATTGACCTCTTCTAATAGTTTAAATTCCATTTCTTTCCTCTTATCCATCTTGATAGAGAACCGAAGAAGTTTAGCAATTCTATTTTACTCTGCTGTATAGAGATCGAGGGTAGTT